GTGTGTGTGTGTGTGTGTGTGTGTGTGTGTGTGTGTGTGTCCATAAGTGTAATTTAAATGTCTAGAAGCTTCAAGAGAAGTAAATAACTCAACCTTTGGTTGTTTTGGCCATCATTAGACAATTGGATGGGGTGTTATTTCTTTAAACAAAAATTGTGGCACTGACCTTTAGACTGTAAAAAATGCTGTAGGCCATTCAGTTTTTATAATTTTTAAAGTAAAAGTTTAAAAATATATTACACGGATGGAGCCATTTTATTTACTCATAAAGCATACTGGGTAAATGATGACGTTGACGAGGTCATTGGTGTGAGGCTGCTAGTGAGTTATATCCACCCTGAAGGTTAATCTTGGACAATATCTGATGATCGACTCTTTTAAATGAAACCAGAGAGCGTTGACAGAGAGGAGACGGTAGAAATGACTCAGCCTGTAACTGACAATGTTGATGGAGGACAACAGAGCTGCTTCATGGAAGAAGAACCTCAGCTTAGCCTGTTAGATTTTGCTTAGCACCGACGCTATTGCCATATTAGCTCAATGCTACATATTCTCCTTTTGTCACTAAGGCCCTCCATCAAAGGCGATTGCTCTAAGACTGCAAGTGAAGCTCAGCTTCCTCAAAAATGTAAAAAAATAAGTGATCAAATATACACTGTTGTGTGTTCATGTCATTGACTAAATATGCGCTAYAACRCDYTCAACTTTTGTTCAGAATCAGCTTCTTATCACTGGTAATGACGCGGCTTTCCTCTCACTCATTCCCGCAGCTCGGACGCTGAGCTTCCACAGACTTCAATAGTGAGGCAAAAAAATGCAGCGAAACAGGACGAGTCATTGGATAAATGCTGGGCTTTGTCCCGCCTCCAGATGCTGAGCGTCTCTGGGGTCTATGGAGCAGTGAGCTGGCTCCAGTGTTGCCAGGTGTTTGATAATTATCGTATTTGTATGATAATTTTGCCCTCTGTACGATGTACGATCAATAATTCCAAAAATCCCATAATGTACAATAATTTGACTGCTCCAGAGTATGACGTAATTGACCCAACACGCTGCTCGCTGACATGAGAAGTGGCGGGTTGTGGAACACAGCGGTGCTGATTTAGCGACTTCCTCCCTATATTTACAGAGTTTTCAGACCCTCTAGATACTGTTATTCAGAAAAGTGACTAGTGAAAATCTAGTGACTCTTTTTCTGGTGTTATTGAGACTTTGAGAGACTCTGCCGTGAACACATTTCTCCATTGTGCTGCTGAGAGCTCCTCCCTGGTCCCAGAGCACCAACAGGAGGCTTCTTCACACTGTGTCTCTCCCTGCTGCAGGTAGATATCCATCCCATCCAGACATGAAATGAATACTGCTGCT